GAAATCATAATAATTTCGTTAAAATGGCAGCCTGAGGCTAATCTTTGATTGTTTAAATGGCTGTTTTGAATTTACAAACGCTCACCAATATTTACAAAAATTTATCACGCCTTCACGCATGGCTTTGAACAGTCGCACTCTTTAGGCATTTCTTTAACCTTATATTATTACAATACGCGGAAACAAGCATTTAAAAAACGAAAATATAGTACCCGATACCCTAGATGTCACCTGTAGATAAAAAAGCACAGAGCTAATATAAGTAATAGCAATGATAAAACGTTTAAAGACAATAAAGGAAACTTGTTACAAATACTTTAATAAGGAGAGGTAATACACACTAAATGGACAAAACAAAAATAAGTTTAATCCACTAAATCATGCAATCCATAGGAAATGTTTCTTGGAAAGCCAACCAATCTGTGAAGCTTTCTATATCATTGAACACTGGAAAAGAAAGGATCAACTTATAAACAATGATATTAAAAGTTACCAGTTGCTAACATGTTTCTGTATGAGCAAAGAAAACGCACATGGCCCAAGTAAAATTTTTGTGTCCTCTACGCCTCGCTTGAGTTTTGTGGAAGAGAAATAAATGTATGTTTACATTATTGCAAATGTACTCAAAAACTAGATAACAAATTTATAATCAGTGGAGATTACAACTCCAAAAACACCAACTGGGGTTCAAGATTAACCACAGTCAAAGGAAAAGAATTGCATCGAGCTGCATCAGAACTTGGTTGTACATACCAATCTTCTGAAAAACCCACCTATTGGCCCACCGACCCAAATAAGATTCCAGACCTTTTGGATTTCTTTATTCTGAGGATAATTTCACCAAACTATACGCAAGTAGAAGAAAACTTTGATATGGATTGAGACTATTCTGCAGTAATCCTTACTCTAAGTGATAATGTTATTCAAAAAGAAGCCAAACCGACCCTAGCAAATCGGAAAACTAATTGGGAAGGTTTTCAAGAGGACTTAACAAATACTATTCAACTGACCATAACACTAAAAATAAAAAAACAGCTATATGAAGAACTGGAAAGGTTTATAGTTGAAATCCAGCAAGCTGCATGGAGGAACACACCAAAAGTAAGAAGATAAACAGCTGGAAAAAACTATCCTGTCGAGATAAGAGAACTGGTAGCAGAGAAAAGAAAACTAAGAAAGAAATGGCAGATGACAAGATCACCAGAAGATAAAAATATAATAAATAGGACTACCCAAAGACTGAGAAGAGAAATCTTAAATCACAAAGAAGAATCCTTTAACAGATACCTAGTAGGGCTAACAGATGATAAAGAAACTGATTATTCACTCTGGAAGGCAACTAAAAAGATGAAAAATTCGGGTAAACACTGTCCTCCAATCAGAATAGCAGATAACAAATGGGCAAGAGACAATCAACAAAAAGCTGATATCGTTAGTTTAAAGCACACATGTTGTATGTCCATTTTTGTCGAAAATGGGATAGGTAGGATTCTAAATTCTTCATGATGAAATCTTTATGGTTACCAAATATAGTACGTCTACTTAAATAGGTTTACCATTCAGTAAAGTAATACTAATAAAAATTATACAGCTCGTCATAGTCACCTCCAACAAACATCAACTCACAGAAAGCCCCAAGATACGACCTTATTACTGGAGAAATATTAAAGAAACTACCACGGAAAGCTATTGTTAAATTGACATATCTCATTAATGCAGTATTTCGCCTTAAATATATACCTGATGCGTGGAAAATGACTGAAGTTATCCTAATTTCTAAGCCAGGAAAATCTCTGAATGAAGTATCATCATATAGACATATATCATTGTTATCGATAATATCTAAGTTATTTGAAAAACTACTGCTAAAACAACTAAAACCAATAATTGAAAATAAAATCTGATCCCTTTGCACCAATTTGGTTTTAGAAACAAATACTCGACAATAGATCAAGTACACAGGATAGTCGATATCATCAAAAAAGCTTACGAAGAAAAATATATATGCTCAGCTATATTTCTTGACGTAGTCCAAGCAAGTTTTGGCACGCTGGCCTAATACAGAAACTTGAAAAATGCTTCCTAGACAAATGTCGACATTCTACAATCATATCTAACGGGAAGAATGTTTAGAGTAAAGTAAGACAAGGCATACTCCGAAATGAAAGAAATTAAAGCAGGTGTCCCACAAGGCAGTGTGCTAGGACCGGTTCTTTACTTATTATAGTTGGCGGAACTAATACAGAGACATCAGAAAAACTTCAGGAAACCTGCAACAGAATCAATCGATGGACAAAAAAGTGGAAAATAAAAATAAATCAAACTAAATCAGTGCATGTTGATTTTACTCTTCGACCAAATGAACAAAAACAAATAAGAATAAATAATAACGTTATTCCGCATCACGATTCGGCCAAATACCTAGAGATGAACCTAGATGTAAGACTTAAATGGAAAGAGTTCATAAAAAAAAGCGTAAAGAACTTGAACTCAAATTCAAAAAAATGTATTGGCTCCTAGGAAGAAAATCCAAATTGTCAGTGCACAACAAATTGCTGATTTATAAACAAATCCTAAAACCAATCTGGATTTATGGCATACAGCTATGGGGATGTGCCAATAAAAGTAGTATTAACATGATACAAGTTTTCCAAAATAAAGTCCTAAGATGCATTGTTGATGTACCTTGGTACTACCGAAACGATTATCTTCATAGAGACCTGAAGATGCCAACAATCGAAGAAGAAATAAAGAGGTTTGCTGCGAAACATGAGGGTCGACTCCACTCCCACGTCAACGAAGAAGCGCTGCAATTACTAGACAACTCTACACTTAACAGAAGGCTCAAAAGGAAGAAGCCATTTAAGCTAATGCAGTGAACGTTAATGTTAGTGCTAGTGTAAAATAGTGCAATAAATCGTCACGCCAACTTGTGATGCTTTCCTATAGAAACAATTAAGACAGCCCAATGGGGACTTCTTAGATAAGTAATTAGTTATAAGATTTTTAGATTAAAATTATAGGTTAGTCAGTAGTGACTAGTAACAATACTCTAACAAAAAAAAACAGAAAAACAATAACAATATTATTGCAAAAAAAGCTTATATATGTAATTTAAAAGAACGATCGAAGAAGTTTTCTTATTAAGATACCCGCCTCGGGTTGTTTTTGTTACTGTTGAATATTTTTCAATTCTTTTATTAACTGTAATTTTTAAAATTTCCCCTGTATCTGCATGCAATTGTTAAAATTATGAATGAAGTAAAATTTAGTTTAGTCTCTCTCCTTCAGTTGAAATTTTTATATTTCATAAGCCACCGATCCCTAGCAGATATTTTAGTTTGCAAAGCAGCGTTCACCCTTACTATTCTTTTAAACTATCAGAATTCGAAAAATTCCTTAATTCGCCTCGTCTTGTTCGAGGGTACGTAGAAATTAAAATTCACAGCACACCTTCCCGATCGCGAGTTTGCATGCCAGAAGATGCGCCCGTGCTCCGGTCCACAAAAAGTTGCGTCATTAAAGTGATATAAAAATCGTTTATGGTCATTGCCATTCGACAAGTCTTATTACGAGAGGCTCCGATTATTTTTGGATTTAGAAGCCCAGTTCTGATTTGTTTTGCTTGACGTGATTGCATCTATAGGCACTTCGCGCTAGTCTGTGTGCCAGTATAGCAGAATTAGTAATAGTTACAATAATTATAATATGTTTATTACAATTTTTAATTAGTTGCACCTAGATGCAAGCATCTGCATGCGGAATACAAATAAAATAAAATTACATGAATAGAAATGATTTTATCACTAGTAGTGAAAAATGTATATACCAGATGTCCTCACAGAAACTTAATATTGAATTATTTCTGGTGTTTTTGAAATTTTGGGTAGTTTTTAAGGATCTAGGGGATAAAGAACGCAATTTTCTTGATATTTCCATGTAAAAAATAACTTGTTGGGTATTTATTTCATAAAATTTATGAGATATTTAAAAAGAAGGTTTCAAATATAAGTAGTTTTAAGTTAAATTCACCGTTAAATTTATCGTTTACATTTAAACAAAAATAAAGCATTTCTAACATTTTCGAACACTTGGTGTTACATTTCTACATTCCTCTACTATTCTATTGTATAAATCAGCTACTGATTATGGAGGCGTCTAATAAATAACAGACTTCAAATGTCCTCACAAAAATAAATCTATAGAAAAGCATTCAAATCAATACTAACTTCTAAAGATAATGTGGCATAAAACCCTTTAGATGGAAGTATATCGCATCCTCTTCTATTTCATTTAAGTTTTCTTTCAAACTCTGTACGATGTATTAGCTCTTCCAGAAGCAGTAGGGTAAATTTTTCAACTATACTTCAACTATACTGCAATTATAATTTACTTCAATTATACTCTAATTATACTTCAATTATACTTTAATTATACTTCAATTATACTCCAATTTTATTTTAATTATGTTGAATTATTTGTATATTACACGTTTATAAATTGAATTGGAAATGATTTGATCTTGAAGTGTTAAATAATTAATTTTAGATTGTTTATCTACTGGCGCACATTCTACAAATAGAATTTGAACATTGTGACGGTTATTAAATTGTTCATGGCTATCAGTGAGAAGCAATTTTTGTCATCTTTTAGCTGGGAATCCACCAATTGATCGTAGTGGATGGACCACACGCATCGAGACTTTGAGGTTAGATTTTTTCTCTTCTTCTTCGAGCGAATTATTCCAAACCTAACCGGAATCAATTTGAGTAATTGATTTCTCTTAGTTGCGAGAAAGAATTGTTAGTGAGAATTGAACAAAGCGTGAATAAACTAAACGAGTCGTTGCTGATTGGTATTGGTTTTTGTTCCCAGACGAATTTTAGCTATGAAATCGTTTTCGATGAGATGCTGTTTTTGCTACGTTATTTTTTATATATATTTAAATTAACAATAATAATTATTGGTTTGTCGATTGATTTTTGTTTACATTGTTTCAGGGACGTTAAGGCCACCAGGACTGATAGGAGGTAGCAAACCGAAAGTGGCGACACCTGCCGTTGTATCGAAAATAGAACAGTACAAAAGGGAGAATCCTACGATATTTGCGTGGGAAATAAGGGAACGACTGATTTCAGAAGGTTAGTTAGTTTTATTAAATGTGACAAACCTTATTTCCATGTTATGTTATGAATTTAAGGAAACAGGTAAAGTTTATTAACAATTTTCACTTATAGTTTTCCCTTGATTTTGAATTGTTCCACGATTCTCTAGGAAAATTATTGTTTTTTATCATTTTAGAAAGCTTTGTTATTATACTATAAACATGGGCGCGCATAAATTATTTAACAGAAGATCTGGTGAGATTTATGCCTCAAGAAATGATTGATAACAATAAATGCAATTTTCTTTGTTTTAATAAAATAATATTTTCCTGCATGCCTATACATTTTTTGAAAACTTTCTATTTTACTTAAGGACGGGGTATCCCTGTGTACTAAAAGCGTATGTGTAGACCAAAAGTTAAATCGACAGTTTTCCGAATATGTAGTGTTTAAAAATCTAATTTTTGGCCAAATTAAAAATAAAGGTCTAACTTAGGTCACCTTACTATTGAAAATTAATAAATTTATTATTTTCAATAAAAACCAATCATGTAAAATAACCCCCTTTTATTTCATCTCAAAGGTGCCGTGTAGAATTATTTTAACCTCGATGTCAAACAAATAATAAAAAAAAAAAAAATGTAATACGACCTAAGTTCAACCTTTACTTGGAATTTGGTACACTCAGAATATTTAAATATTGTATATTTTTCAAAACGTGTAGATTTGAAATTTATAAGTCACTTTCTTTGAAAAAACATGTCAAAACGAATTTGGACCAAAAATGGCGTCTAATTTAACTCTAAATCAACCCCGAAAAATCAATAATTACTTCATGTAATGTAATAAAGATGGTGCTCCGATCGATAATATTTTGACTAGTATTTCCGTTTATATTATGTGTGTTTACGGGGGATATACGAGATGATAATACTGCCTCTGATACTGTTTATATGATATACAATTGGAAACGACCTTTTTTCATCGGCACTCTTTTTTCGCCGGTGACCTTTTGACACGCGCCTATTTGTTATATGATGTATGATTATCGGTTATTTATCAACTAAAAGTATAGGAAATTAGTACATTGTGAATGATAATATCATTTTAATGCTATTTTTGAAACTAGTTCAAAAGTTGCATTTAACGATACTCAATGTTTCATTTTACCGTCAGTTTTAGTTTGACATATCCGTCATTTTATGTTTACAAAGCTCAGTTTCTATTCGAAAGCGACAATTGCTGAAGACGTAACAAATAAATTAGGTCGAGAAATAAAAAAATCTATACTATAAGTAACATACCATATATTATACCTATCGTTGACGTATATACTTTTCCATCTGTGATTAGTGATTACCAATTGCAAATTACGTATGAACATGCTTCTGCGCAAAAAAAACCATTATTTCAAGTACTTGTATCATTAAAGTCCATTAAATTATTATTTCTATAAATTTGCTAATCTTTGCACTTTAAGTTTCATTATATGGGGTATCCAGACATTTTAATCCTCGTCCTCTTCTATTTAAAATTATCTCAGGTGCCATATATTCCGAGTAAAATTTTTCTAATTTTTCAACCATATTTAAAAAAAAAAATGGGTTGAATATGAATTTTTTCAACAAATATTGGATTTTCATCTCCAGTATATACTACAAAGTAGCACAATTTTCTTTGAGCTATACCTAGCTGTCCTTGAATCTAAAAGTATATAAAATCATTATTAGAAAATCAAACATAAAAAGAATATTAATATTGTAGCATCATTTCTAGCACATTTCTTAAAAATCATGAATTATTTTAACATATTGAAATTTTTCACCTGGTAAAAGTAGTTATGGTTTTCTTTTAAATGAATGTTACCATCTTCTATTTTTAAGCATGGAAATGAGTTTGAATATTAGGTAATGTGCGCCAATAATGTCAAATTATGACAATTCGCAGAAAACGTCAACTTTTTATTTAGATTTTAATGTGCAAAAGCCTACCTACTTTGGATATTGATCGTAGAAAAAATATATTCAGAATAATGAAACATTATTATTAAATAACAAGTTTTTTTATTGTCAAATTTAATACGTAATATTATTTTTTAATTGCAAATATTTGAATGTTAAAATTATAGCGTTTAATTTTTTTATTCAATGACGAACTCGAGAGTGATAGAAAAAAAATACTACCTACCTTTAATGCAGGAAGTCGATGTCAATTTATCCAAAAATAAAACTGATTAAAATGTACAATGAAACTCACTAGGACACTTGGCACAAATAAATCAATTTTCTATTAAAGAAAATAGCACTTATTAAAAACAAACAGCACAATAAAATACTTCAGAAACGTGTGATGTAATTTTGAAAACTAAATACCCGTAAGCTTGTTTGTAAATTTATAGACTCTTAACTCCTTCCCCCAGCCTTCATTAAGTATATTAAAAGTCGTGACGTCATATTGGCACAGATATACGGTAATGTGTTATTGACAATCAGGGACATGTTTCTAGGAAATAACTACCTAAGATAAGATAAGATAAATGAATGTTAAATACCTACTCATAATATCTATTGTAGGGTTTTTGTACTTTAATAGGATAAATATTTATGCGGGCCTGGAAATTCCAGGAAATGACAGTCAAAATTACCCAAAAACATTAGGTTAGTACCAACATCAGATAACAGATAACTTCTGTATTTAACCAGTTAATCACAATTAATATTCTTGAACATTCAAATGACAAAAACTTCCATCTTTAACCAATGAGAATATAGTTTTCATTCGATACTTCAAAATCACAATTTATTAATTAGGTAGAATAGTTTTAAAATATATTGCGAATTGCGACACGTCAAGCGTCACACTCCGACTCAATGTGACGCAATTATTGTGGCAATATATTTTGAAACGACTCTATATTCGTGACTTGAAATTATAAACATCCCTCGTATTACTACCCGTATATAAACAAAATTATTTGTTTTAGGAAATATTTATATTTAATGTGAGGCAAGATATCGTTTTTGTTGTTACCATCTGCATCTACATTCTTTACTTTGGTCCAGGAAACAAAGTCAATTTTCGATAAAAATAAAATGTAATAGGTAGGTAATACTTTATGAAACAGTACAATAAAAGTATTGAAATAAAGTATGCTCATACTCCAAAATGAGTCCTAGAGTTAACATTTTTATAATATTATAAATGGCATATAAAACGATTGGACCGTTTTCACAATCACGAAATAATTTTTTTTATTTGGTAAAATCCCGGCAATTATTGAAAAATAGATTTTATGTTCAGGACTATTATTATGATCCTTCGAACTCAGTCTACTAAAAACCGGTTTATAATACAATATAATACAATATCCCCTAATAGCTTGTCGGTCGATATTTATAGTTACTTAAAGATTTCTGTAATAATTTGCACTAATTCAATCTCTAGTCGGTAGGTAACAGCACCTCCTTGATTGAATCTAAATTGACATAATTTTGTTCAGAAATTCCTAGGAGACGCTGTCCTTAATAATTGAGATATTGAAGTGAATTGATAAAATAAATGTTCAGAACAGGATTAAACTGCCATTCGGTATCTGAAAATGTTTTTAATTCTTTGTTGTTCAATCTATGGGGTGATTCAAAAGTTACTTGAAAACTGATAGTTTATGGACGTCACTTTTATAGTATACATATTTCAAAAATGATAAATTACTAAAGGTACATCTGACATTTATTGCATGATATTTATCTCTGACAGTTGTTTATTCCAGTGTAAACACTCAAAAATATATGCCCGAGAGAAATTTTTGTGTTTACACTGGACTGAATAACTGTCAGACATAAATATCATGCAATAAATGTCAGATGTAACTGTACCTTAACCGTATTTATATAGAATCAAGCAACAATTTAAAAAAAAAATTATGGCAATCGAGTGGAAACTGATGTTACTTATGTAACAATTTTTGTCTAAGAAACAGGAAAGTTTTAAAAGTTCCAAAAGAAAATGTTTTGGTTTACGTGCATCATGCACATACAAAAAAACAAACTTTATGACCGAAGTCATCGCGTGACGTGTGAATAAAAACACCTCGCCGTATCGTAGAAACCGCAAAAAATAACGAATCAATGACAATGTTTAAGGTTGACGTTATTGTTTGGGCCGGCCAGACGGGCTTTGTGCCGGATCGTCCTTCGAGTCCTTCGACCGCAAAACGTCGGGGTAATTATAGTTATCCGTGGTGAAGAAAACGGAAAAACTGACTGTTCACTGTTCGGTATTGCTGTAAATTGCACGGAACGACAAAGGTAAATTAAAAATTACAACGGCCCTTTCGGCCATATGCTTTTCCACAAAGACCATTTAGGTTTATTGAATGTACCTACCTATTTAATAAAGGATTGTTATTATCTGACAGTAGCGGCGCTAGCTTCAGAATACGATAATTTCTTTAATATAAAAATATTGAATTTACAGAGATTTATATTTTATGACACATTATGTATAGAAAAAGTTGACAAACTTAAGAAGTGCTCCAAATCAAATCAGTAGTAACTTATTACTAAAAAAATTAATAAAATCATTTACAATATACATAAAAAGTAGATTTCCATTGCTGAAACACGGTGATTGAATAAACTTTATCCAAAATAGTTGAAAACATTCAGTTTTTTCATTGTGTAATAAATGATGTATTTAGTTTTTCTACAAATCAAATTAAAAATGATTTAGATATTTTAGTGTTTTATCTAAAACTGAATTTTAACTTTTCAGGAGAATTAATTATTGTTTTGTTTCTTTTTTATATGTCTATACTAGTGTGAATTCGAGCTACTAGTGAAAACCAGAACATGAGACGTAGAGGAACGCGTCGCAACAGCGGCCATAGAAAATGGCAGCATAATTGAAATAGTGACAAAGAGAGAGAGAGAGAGAGAGTAGCTAATCGATATTACAGCGAGCTTCTACGTAGGTGGCAATCTAGTTAATTGTTATAAAACTCAACGTTGCTCAACGACTTCACACCTTTTCCTGCCATTTTATTAAACTTACTTGATAGGATTACAAACCGCTGAGGCTTGCGTTTCACCGGATATAAAAACAGTACCTACCAGGCATTCTTCCTTACTTATTTGTTAGCTATTCAATGCATTGACAATATATTCTAAAGCTTTTTTTAATATATCAGAGCTGATTTTAATTTAATTTAATTATTCTGAAGTATAACGGGAAAATATGAGGAATGATCACTTATCGTTTTCGGGGACAAATTACAGTGTCTAAGAAAAAGCAATTACCATGGGCGCTGTTAAAATGTTTTGGTGTGGGGACAAAGTTACAATTTTGTGTACTTAACCTTAAAAGCTTAAAACTATGGTTAATTCTATTTATTAGGATAGCCTTGCAGGGATATTAGGGTTACATTAAAAGTACATCGCATGGGAGCCTAAAGAGCCTAAAATTGCAGCTTATTAACGTAGATGGGATGTTTTTGTGCCAGCTGGGTTAGTAACAAAGCAGGTTTAGTTTTATACTTTAGCTATAAGTGTAATTAAGTTATCGCATCCTAAGTTATACTAGCGAGTAGTAGTTTTTAAAGCAAGTACAAGCACACACTGAAGGTGAAGAGGAATTAAACACGTATTTAAAGCCTGCAAGTTTTAAGAATATTGGTTTTTAAAATTGTGACCTTAGTTAAGTTAGATTAGAATAAAATTAATCATTAATCAACGTTTAATTTGATTGTAATATTAATAAATTCCTCTAAAAAAGCTAATACCCACTGAAACTAAAATCACTAATCGCAAGTTAATAGTTCACCAAGAGTAAGTCACCTAAAAACTAATTAAACTGGTCACTAACCATATAATTTCAGAAATATCGTTTTATCTACTATAAGTACCTATACATTTTACTTGTTCCATAGCGCAATATACATAAGATACATAAATTAAATGTAAAATAGATAGTGTCATAAAAAACTCTATTAATGTCATTTCAAGATGACAGTTTTGTCTTTGAAGCCTTGCAATAAGTTCGTAAAACAAGATGTTTACAAATTTAAAAAAATATTTTGGGTTATTAAGACAAAATAACTAATAGTTGTTTTATCCGATTGGAAAAAACCGCTTTGTAAGGAAGAAAAATGGCGCAGTTAACCGAAGGTTTGTTCGTTTTCACCAATTTATTTATTTTTAACATTGCGTGCACAACAAGTACCTTAATAGTTGAAATTATAATCATTAAATGTTAATAGTCTAGAGCTAAGCGAAGCAACCAAGGGTAATCAACATATTAAAAATCTCGCTATTTACGTGTGCGTGCAGAGACAGATTTCAAAATTAATAATTTTTCATAAAATCAAGTTGATAATTACAAATAAGTGATTCCTAGAGAAGACAAAATGTAGTTCAACTAACTGCAATTATTACATAGTATCTAACTCTAACAGGAGTGACTTTTTCTACATAGGAATCTTTCTTTCTTTCGGTCGAAACAAGCACGCATGATTAAATAAAATTAAAAGATACGTTCCATGTTCCGTGACGAACACATGACGCGGCCATTTTATTTTTACGTGACTTTTGCTGCGTGTGAATTCGAACACTTCAATGCTCGGAGATTCACCGCAAAAGCCGCAACCAGAATATTGCTATCAGACTCTGGTTTTGTGTTGAAAAATGTGTGAAGAAACAGCAAAAAGTTTGCTTCGATTTAATCGTTAAATTAGATTCCAATTGATTGGCTTTTTAGTTGACCAATTAGTTATTCGATCTCGTTCATCATACACAATAATTTTTTTGTATACATTTATACTAGTACAATTTTATTTTAAATTCTTAAAAGTCTTTTAGACTATAAAATGAGCTAAAAATGTTGGCGTATTTCACCATGCTCTACTCTAACAATATGCCCAAAAAAAGTTACAAGAAATACTGCGATTCTGAACAGAAAACTTTTTCTCCAGCATCAATTGTTGAGTACAAACATGACTATGATAAATATCTTCTTGCTAAAAATAATGCTGATGATAATAAAGAAGAATCTGTAAATCGCTCAGTTAAAAAGAGGAAAATAGGGTTAGAAATTCGAACAATTGGAAATAAGTAAAAGCAAAACTCAGAAATACATTTTAAGAAGTAGAAAAATTGTTGAAGCCAAGCATACAAAACTTGCTGGATCTGATAAATGTATTTAACATTAATAAAAATATTGACTTTGACGAAATTAAAATTAATGTAGTTAAAATTCTAAAGGAGAAGAAGAATTTTGTTACAAACCGAGCTACAAACAAAAAAATAATAGCACTGACTAAATTTTAGACAACGAAAAAGATATAATAATAATGTAATTTTCAAAAAAGTCTACTGAGTTTCCTGCATTCTATAAACTCTATTTCAATAGTATTTTATAATAAATTAAGAGCATCTAATTGTTTTATTATTTTAAATGTATGTTGCTTTAGTATATGGCAAGGTTTTTAATTGTTGATCTCAGAGTTTTGTTTTAATTTTAAGCACCTTATTAGGTTTATATTTACCAAAGATCAATAAAAAAGAAATTCATTAAATAACATAACTAGTATATAAAAAAACACTCCTCGAATGATAAAACAGTCTCTCAGTGCTTCGTTCTCATTATAATTGTTCAAATCCTCACTCAGAAATGAATTGTTGCCATTCAATAATCGAATTTCACTAATACAACTTGAAAGCCTAAGCAAACAATTTAGTTGTCACGCAGAAGCTCTACAACATATCCAGCTGGTAATAGCGAATCCATAGCTATATGGAATTGAGAGTCGATAATCTCTTTGGTTCTCATAATACTCATATTATAAAGAAAGGCGATAATTTGCTCGCCACTCGATAAAATATTTTTAGTTCCACTAATGAGTGACAATTACGCTGTCAGTGTGCACAAAAGATTCGAGTATCTTTCTATCGAGGTTGGTCCTTCCAAAAACGTATTCGAAATACTTGATTTGGGTTAAATGTATTAATAGTTTGAAGGTAATATTTAAAGATTGGATTTGACTAGTTTGTATATTATATAAGGAGGTAGTGATTAATTAATTAAAAAACAAATAATTAAAAAAATTAGACGAGGTTATACATTTTTATTTTAGGTCAAAACTGACTTGAGGGATGAGCGATTGAAATGTAGAAGAAATAATTTATTTTATAGATTAATAAACGCTTATTCAAACAGCAAATAATATTTAAGACGATAATAGAGCTATCAACCCAGCTTTTCCAATAGATTATAAATATGAAACTTGCTTTGAAGGATAGTGTTAAAATTTCAACTTTGAAAACTGTCACTGCCAGTTTATTGTTTTGTCTTAAACTTTTTAACATAGCAACATTTTGTCAAGAATTATTAGATGATATTGAAAAAATTATATAGGGAGTAAAATCGATATGGAAACAATAAGAAACATTTTTAAATGAGGAGCAATAACTTTTAAATATTACTTCAAATCAAAAGCTAGTATTAATCATGAAAGTGATGTGTCTTTTCAACAGCGATGTCTTTTATCTAATAGAATACCAAACAGACTTTGTTTCGCACTTTTTACCAGGGGTATAGGGAATTAATAAAGTTTGTTTACTTGTGACAAGAATACTTATTTTTATTTGACGACAACTCCTTTATTTTTTGTAATAATTAAAAAACTAGCTATACCAATCGTACTTTTTCAAGTAAATCATTTATATGACACTGTATTTTTCCGTATTCACACCTGTTGAATGACAAATATCCATCTTGAACAGATCACATAAATCTACTATCGGAAGATTCGAAGAAGAGAACCAGAAGGGATAGACATCGCGCATAATTACAAGGTGACTGATCAATGATTAATAATTCCTTATTAATCATATGGCAGCATTGATCATGATCTGCCTATCAGATACCGATCGGAACACCGTTTTGATTTATCTCTCGGCTAATTTCTTATTCAACCCTCTGGCTAACTAACGAACCAGCATATCGGTTAGCGCTACAGATGGATTCATTTCAGTTTCGATATTCATTGTTAAAGCATCCTCTTAGCTATATGCTCGTTTACAATCAATAATAGAATGGATGTGTGCATGTTTCGAAAGCAGAAAAGAAAGCTGATATGCCTAGATAATAGCGGGAGAGCTAATTTCAAATTTGTAATTAATTTCTTCGTATATTAGGTTACAGAAAAAATCACGTAAATAAATTATTAATATTATTATAATGAAAACGTAAATGTACAAATTTACAAGGTGTCCTATTTGAAGATACAAAATTCATAACATGTCGTTATAGTTCCTGTCCAAATTTCATTTCATTCTTATAATTATTGTAAAAATTATAGTCTAGCATGTCTAATATGTTTTTTCCACCTTATACCATTTTGCTATCATGATATTTTGCTAAATTTAAATTTGAAACTGTCAAAAGTCTAACTTACTGCAGAAATGTAATTTATTCATAAATTCTAAAGCTGTTCTTTATTATTTCCAGGTGTCTGCACCAACGCCACTGCACCCTCAGTGAGCAGTATCAACAGAATACTGCGCAACCGAGCAGCTGAACGAGCTGCAGCTGAATTTGCTCGCGCAGCAGGCTACGGTCTGTACCACCCCCATCCCTACGCCACAGCAGGCTTCCCGTGGCACTCTCCTCTATGGCCCAACGGTCCCTTGGGGCTTTCAGGACCGCCCGGTGCTGGGAATCCCACGGTAATGTCCGCTTCGCCGGTTTCCTCGGGATCACCGCACCCGGACAGCGGGTTGATGTCTTCGCCGCCAGGAGGAAACATGGACAAGGACGATTCTAGTCTGGATAGTTCAGAACAGCCGAAATTTAGGCGGAACAGGACGACTTTTAGTCCTGATCAACTGGAGGAGTTGGAAAAGGAGTTCGAGAAGAGCCATTATCCTTGCGTGTCGACCAGGGAGCGATTGGCGTCTAAAACGTCATTGTCTGAAGCTAGAGTGCAGGTAGGTGAAGAAATAATACATCTACAGTTTATTATTTTTTTTTGTTCCTCTTTTAACTTCGTTAACTTGTTTTCGTAATCTTTTTGGGCACATCTTTACTGTAGGTATATTTTTTATTCGTGTTGAATATACAATGTGAATCCAAACAAAGAAATATCTTTATTCGTAAATCACTTTTGATTGAATATTTGATGGTATACAGGAAAAATAAAAATACTGATTTTATACGATTAAATAAAGCAATAATGTTATTTGAAAATGTTGATAAGAATTATTAAGTACTTAAAAGATATTTTAGATAAATGATATATTAGGCACTAGCTAATTTAACAAAATAGCAGAACTAGTACAGTTAAAACATTTAGTTCTCAAAAATTGGTAAAAAAATTAATATAGATAAAAAAGGGTAAAAATATGAACATATAAAAGTGTATATTATTAAAACAAATGTGCCAGCAAACATAACCAGCAACACTAATTGATGCATTTTATTAACCAGGTTTGGTTTTCCAACAGACGGGCCAAATGGAGACGGCATCAACGCATGAACCTGCTCAAACAGTCCGATGGAGGTCCTGGCCATCAAGGAGGACCCCAGAGTCAGTCTTCGATGTTCGGCGCCCGTCTGACCCCCTCGCCGCACTACAAGGGCGGATCCACCCCTGGCTCACCGCTTACTACGCATCTCAGTACGCACCCGGGTGCTTCGTCTCTCCTGCTCGGGATGGGAGGGGAAAATAGCGCTTTTAAGGCGCTAGTGCCGAATGCGCTGCTCGGCGCCCAGGAGAGATTAAGGAGGTCAGTGTTTCTATTTGATTCAAACCTTTTTAACTTAATTTCAAATATGTAAAGTTCTGGTCTGACAAAATTTTTCTTTTTTCACTCTAATAGCATTTGGCATCAGACTATGTCTCAAACAAGGAAGATGTATATTATTAAAAATATTGTCAAGCGATTTTGGAACTAAAGAAGTTAACAATAATTAGGATAAACCATAACTGTGGGTCAACCATAGCCCTCAGAAAGTCTAGATACCGCTTGGCGTATACTGTCAATACAAAAAAAATGACCCCATTCAAGCTTGTCGCCATGTTAGGTAAATTTATGTTTTGGCTACACTGATTTTTAGTTTGTGTGTTCTGTAATACGTGAACACCGATAATCTGCACTTTGTTATTAGTTATAAGTGAGTGAGACGCACAATTTCTAATTTCAAATTAAGAACAAAACTTTGACAAACCTATTTGATTTTCCTAGATCTGTTCAGACAGGACCGGTTTTATAAAATTTCTCGTTCTTGAAATGTTATTTTTACATGGTTATATATTATTGGATAAGTGGTTTGTGTACATATTGCTATGAGAATTATAGAGAAATTCCGTGAGATTTATGTAATATAATTCAAATTACAAGTAAACCATCTGTTTCTGTATGGCAATATGGAGAAAATACCTACTTCAATGTCAAATGTACTATTTAAAAGAATGTGATTGTTAACCGGTCATTTATTTATATTATATTATGAAAATAAAAACTCGAATTTTTTAACTAGGGAAAGATATACTTACATCGGTAACAAGGTATTTTAGAAAAACTAATAGATTACTCCTATTCCTATAGTTTATTTGAAAATGAATAATAGCAAAATTATATAAAAATATGGACCTTTGCCATAAAAACTGTGCTACCAAGCATTTTCAAATAAACTATAATGATAATTTGATTTAATAGAGCGAGTATAAGATCTCACCTGTTAGAGAAATTGGGGCATAGGGAAGAGATTATGAAGCAGGTAAGCAAAGTCATTGCAAAAGATAAATATAAGGAAGTTATTTTAAAAATTTGATAAAAAAACTAGTGGAACAACAAATGGAGTTGTCGCTATCGGAGATCCAATCAGCAGAAAGTAAAAAAAAACTTTGGGAATGTTGGAAAAGGTCCCAGCAATAGGCCCAAAATAATTCCTTGGTTTTTTAATAAATATAATCTGAGATGCAAAAAATACTGCTAGAGTGGAGAAGCAGTATTGTTCTAATGTAGAAAACCCAGGAACATACAGTAGTGCACTAACCATAGGCGAATAGTCACTAAATTATATAAGAGTCCCATCTCGATTTTATTTTTAAATATTTTTGAGAATACCTATTATTATTTGTTACATTGAGTTTAATAAAACCACAGATTTCGAATGTATTGAAAGTTATTTAAAAAGTACCTCTATAAATATATAGAAAATGTGTATATGACTAACTGGTTTTAATAATCTTTTTTTGGGGTAGGTAAATATATTTTGAAAAATTTACAAACTTCTTTTGAATAAAAGACAAAATGTTTTTGTTTTTATTAACTGAACAATATTTTATACGAACATAATAATACCTATTTAAAAGAAAATATTACATTTTACAAGTATCGCATATTTATATGAAATAACTTACTCAATAAGAAAGAATTAAATGAAACAAATTAATAAACAATAGATATGAAAAATTGCTTGAACAATTTAATCCTTAGATAAACTTATTCTTACATATTGCTTTAATCAATTTATTTACTATAAAAGTATATTTCCTATCATTTATTACATATAATAAAATAAAGCATAAAACATACAAACTATAATATGTACCTACTTAGAACGGAACTAATATTATTGTATCAAGGTAGTAATAGTGGACATTTTCCGAATAAAAAAAAGTAAAAAAGAAGTAACGGTCGACACGTTTTTCTGACTATTGGTCTTCATCAGTACGGTGCAGCCAAGTTCAAAGGATCATGGAACTTGTGTTGGAAAAATTGTACAATAGGTCACTAACAAGGAGCCAATAACACATTTGCCGTTTCAGCTAGTATCCCCAAATTTTCTGGGCTTATACTAAAGTCACAAAATGATTCAATGGTCTTCCTATGGCTATCAGTTATTCTTTCCTAACATTTTTTTGTATGCTACAACAAAACATACAAATTATTTGATTTTGTAAATACACAAATATTTGTGAAAACTTACACATGAAATGTTATTCCTTCCTTGTATCTTCTACCGTTAGATGCATTGTTACATTCACGTACAAAACAAAAAGAGATTTTGAAAATCCTGTAAAAATTTAACACCAAACCACAAATGTTTTTTATTAAAATAAAACACTAAACGACTAAACTAAAAAATAATGTTTTAAATAAAACCTTTACTAGAAAAACAAAATAAACAACACAACAGATAATAAAATCGATTATATACGTCGAACGCCGATCTTACGCTTATTACTAAACTTGCGCCGATTCTGTCTTGTCAGTAGTGCCAACTTAAAATTTATTGACATTTATTTATCATGGCGCCCATCATATGGGGGGTCAAAATGTTTTTACGATGCGGTATCTAGACCTTCTGAGGGCTATGGGGTCAACATAGTACACTTGAAAAATTTAACAAATTTTATTTGATTTACAAAACTTCTCTACCAGCTCAAGCATGGATGGAGATACATTAGTAAAGGATCTCTTAGTCATAGTCTTTCATGATTATAAGAAGTACGAGAGTTATTCTCCTTTTTTTGCTTTTATTTTTAAATTGCAATATATTTCCTTTAATAATTGACAGATTTTTTTTGATTTTTTTTTATAGTTACTGTTGTTTTGGATATATTTAGCTCAAATTTGGAATCTAAGTTACGTTGTAGGGTGTACACTAAATACTTGTGAGAATCTAGAGGGTAACAGTTTTTCTTACCCTGAACTTTTTGCTGTGCGTTGCTAGTAGATTCTAAAATACAAAATTCATTATCTGTTTTGCAAGAAAAAAGAAAAATTATCTCTTACCAGAACTATAACCAAGTTAATTGTTTTTATGTATCAAGTATTCCATTATTTGAAGAAATATTTTGTGTTTATTTGCAGACTTAGCGACTACGTCAGCGACTCCGAGGAGGAGATAAACGTGAACGACGAGTCGGACCTGGAGGAGACCACGGAGAGGTTATCGTTGCGATCTTCGAGTCCGGTGGAAGTAGTCGATGTGACGGTAACGGCGACTGCCAACAAGGGCGGCCCTCCCACGCCCACCGCCGCCTGTCAACCGCTACAACTCACCATGCACAATCGAGACTAACGAAAACAAGTAATTAAATATATATTTTTTTGAACATTTAATAAAAATATACGGAAATGCAATTATTGTTTTTAAGGAACGTATTCGCATCCTCTCTTCAAAGGTGACGTAAGTCAAAAAAATGCAAATTGTGTAAAAATGAGTTTAGTATAATTAATGCTATGTGTGTTTATTATTTTTCTCTTCGTTTATACAGGTAAATTATGATTTAATTACTTTTTTTATAAGCAAACATCGGCCTTTTTTGAGTTGAGTCTCTTTTCATCGTTATGACTATACAATAGATTTTGATATATAACGTCAATGTTGGTAAAAAAACAAACATTTATTTTTTTTATTTATCGTAAACATAATAATTATTCAAAAGAAAAAAACATATTGCAAAGTTAAAAATATAATGAAAGATTACAAAAAACAAATTATTCCAAAAACATTATTTTTAAATAAAAGCAATCAGTCTTTTTTTATTTTTATTACACTGTAGTGAGCTTAATTCAAAGTATTGCAACTCGAAATATGACCTCATAACATAAATCTGTTTACACAATTTTACAGAGCAAAATATGACACTTTTAATGTGTAAAGAAATGACATTTTAAGGAACTATAAAAACGACAAAAAAAGACGAAAAGTATTAAGGTTTTTATAAGGTTTGGCGATGTAAAACAAAAACTGATTCTTTTTGACTTTTGTCATTTTTGAAGAGGGGGTGCGATATTAAAAGTGTTACAATTATTCATTTTCCAAAAATGGTCACTTCTGGGAAATTATATAAAAATAAATGGTTTGTATATAAGGGGAAGGTTAAAAATTCTTGTGCTAACACATACAGAGAAAAAAAAAGTGTTAATCAACCAAAAATTAAACATTTTTGACCGATGTTTTGGGTATTTATTAAAAATTTTTGGTACTTAAAACTATTATTTTATCTTAAATTAAATTTTCAGACCCAAACCAGAGCCCCTAATCATTCTCACGGTATTTTTTATTTCGTAGTACTTACAGTATGTTTACCATTATCCAGTGGCGGCTCGTGGGCACTAGCGGCAGTGGGGCATACACTGGAAAGGAATCCTGGGATTCGTTTTTCCCTTAGGAAAACAAGTTCCCCGCTTAATGAAAATTAAATATATTTCAAAACAAATTAAATATTACAAAATTGAAGACTAACTGCTAGGTACCGCTGCAGAAATACTATTTCTTATAGTTGAAGTCCATTCTTCTGGATTTTTAGCTAGCGAAATGATCGATGACCAGATTATTAAAATTTGGAATGGACTGAATAAGTTTTTTTTTCGATGGATAACATGGCTAACGCGCACAATCTATCTTGGCACATAGTGTTCCTTAAAAATGTTTTAATACGTTTTAAACATCTTTCATTCTGTAATTGTCAAATTGTTCTCAAAAAACATTTGTAATAACGGTACGATCCTATTGTGTTGCACAAAGTCATCTCGGGTGTAAAGTATGGATAGTTTGTTTTTAAATTTGAATGTGTTTACGTTTGGAAATAAACTACACACAGTATTAACGTCCGCATTTGGAAAACAACCTCGGTAGTCTTTAAATTTTTCACTCTCAAATAAACTTGCAATTGTTAGGTGGGTAGTAAAACTAAAACGTTCATTTACCTGACTACTATTGTGTCACAAATTTCCTTACATATTTTTAAATTAGGAATGGGGTCTTCCTTTTCAATAAACCATCTCTTCTTGCTTGTACTTGGACCTGATTGGGAATTGCCTTTTAAGTTTAGTTCTTGTGGGTCTTGTTGTGATTGCCATTCTTCATGAATTAGCGTGTCTATATTATTTCTAATATTTTGAATAGCTGCTGCAAAATTTGATATGTTTATCTTTACCTTGAGAGCATCGAGCTGTCTACTCTGCAATCGATTAAAAAGTATATAGCAATATGATATTATTTTGCTGAAGAAAAATAACCAGAAACTAAAATCTGTCTTTCAAAATGTATCAACCCTTTAGTTTGATTAATAGTTTTTTTATCAAATTCTGTGTTTATAATTTCTTCGAAACATTATTTAATCAAATCCTCTTTATAAACAAAAATAGTATTGACACATTTCGATGTAAAATTCCATGGTGTAGGAGCATTTTAAAGCATACGATTCTGAAGAAAAGGTGTTTGGCAATATAAAATCTCCCAGCGAAAAATTTCTCTTTCATATTTTCAAATTTCTTAATTTCTTATATATTTTGGTTATGTTGGGCTATAATTGTAACACTTTTAATATAAAATCGTTCCATTTTGTAGACTGATTTATTTCACTATATTTTCATTTATTAAAAAAAGATTGAATTTTTTTGCGCATCTTTTTGAATCACATGTTAAGTCTTGATAAATAATTTTACCAAAGTATTTTCTATTTATGTATCTATTTATGTTTTGTACATAAGACTTTTGTATATAATGTTTGTACAGTTCCTTATTTTTTTTTTTAAAGCAGTGCTCTCATGGTTTATATGTATATTTACACCAATTTTAAAATTTATATCTAATAATGTTTCACACTTTTTTTTTATTTACAAATAGTTACTTTTTTCTCAATAGAATCCAAAAGCACCCCAGATTGTATTAAAAATTTGGAAAGGTTGGTGGTACGACGAGAGCATTGCCTATTAAATTTAAAACACAATTAATTATAAAATAAGACTTATCTACGCAAATTTCAAAATAAATTTTCGAATAAACTAACTGTACCTGCTTCAAAATAATTTTGTAGACATTGACGTACCAGTGAAAAACGTTTTAACGCAAAATATTTTTTATAATTTTATTGGAAAACGCTCAAAAATATTTCGCTCTATATAATTATACACAAAAAACAACTTTAATTCGTCTCTAAATATATAACATTTTAAAATAGTAATATACGATACTAAAACCATTTGGAAATTTATTAAAATACCCTATCTTACAGATTTACTGTCAAGAAATTTAAAATTTCCTTAAAAAAGAAAACAAATATGTAAAATAACTTGATATATTAAAGCAGAGGAATGTACATTGTTAAATTTATTACTTTTGATTATAAAAACTTTGAAATAAAAACATTGTTTTATCAAAAAACTTAAATATTTGAGGTGCTACTCGTAATTCCTAAAAATATGCTTAAAAAATTGTTATGTATTTGAAATAGTTTCCACTTTGTATGGATCTTATAAAATCCCGTAAATTCTGGTAAATTTTTGAAAGCACCTCGTAGATTCATAAACATGTCACGACATCTGTTCCTATATTATTTTTATTATATACCTCCTTAACAATGAATAAAATTTCTTCGATTTCTTGTAAAATATTGTAATAATAATAATAAGATTGTAATTGTTATTGTATATTAGTATAAGGTGTAATTATTGTTAATAAAAACCAATTTTCTTTGATGTGATATTGATTTATTCATGATTCCACATTTTCCATCCTATTATACCCATTATTCGAGTAGAATTACGTATGGAAAGATTTATTTTCAAAAGAAAAGGAAATTCTTTCATGTAGTCGATCCACTTAAAAGAATGGAATAAATACTCTAAGAAGAAATATATTAAAATCAACAAAAGGTAAGTTAAAATTCTTATTACTTTGTTCTTTTTAACTGGCTGTATGATGAGAAGTCTATAACAAAAAAAAAGTTCTTTTAGACAGTAAGTTAAACTGTTATAAGAGTTGAACACATTACATAAAAAATAGACTGATTAAATCATAGTGAAGTTTAATAACTATTAATGCAACCACTTTAAAATGCCTTTTTTTATGTATCGAGTAAATCTTAGCGAGACGAGCAGAGCGAGGATCCATAAAATGAACGAGTTACACAAAACGGCATTCCGTAACGTGCCCTCTAAAAGTTTGTGCGATTTTTCCTTTAGAAATTACACTTTCATTGTTTCTATTGTTTCTAATTTTGACTAGATTATTTATAACATCTATACAGCCAGTATTACTTTCTTCTATTGTGAGTTGCATAACTTCATTTATCTCATTGACAAATAGAAAAGAAAGTGTTTATATTACTAAAAGTTATTTGGTTTTCAAGAAAGTGGATTATTTTGTTTTGTAATGTGTTTTGATTATTATGTGTAGATTTAAAATAGAAAATAAGGTCCGATACAAAATGTTTACTTGATAAAAAGTTTGTCAGTGTTTAAAGATTTGAATAAACGGGAATATAAATAAGAAGAACATTTTTTGGGTATATGGAATGAATATATATGTATATATATATAAAAAAGTTGCCATATTTAGTGACACCTATTGAAGGGTGCAAAGAAGTAAAAAATATTAATTTAAATTGGTCAGAATCACTACTTAAACTTAAAGCATAATTCAAAGTAGACTGAAGATGACACCGATGTAGGGGCTCAAAATATTGATTCTCAAAACCATAGTTCTTGAAATATTCCATAGAAATTTTGGTGACACCTACCCAGAAAATCAACCTAGTAAAACTAAAAATTTGAAATTGATAAGGGAACTATTTTAATTTAGAAAATAATTTACAGTCAAGCAATTTTAGGATAAAAAAACTCACGACATTTAAGCACTCATTATAAGTCCAAAAAATTAAAAATAATGTTATTATCAGTGACGGCTAGGGGGCACACACTATAAAGGAATCCCGGGATTCGTTTTTCCCTTAGGAAAACAAGTTCTCCGCTTAATTAAAATTAAATATTTCAAATCAATCAGTTGTGGCAATAACGATTTCTGAATGTGACTACAGGGAGCTAAATGTGACCACTCCAAATGCATTTAACTATGTGGCTATTTAATCAAAAAAACATTACATATCCACTCTTGCGAAAGGACCCCGCAATAATCTTATGGAAATTGGGTTTCTGTCAAATTGTCTGAATTTTTGATATGTTGTAGATTTTGTCATCCTGAACAAAAGTCTCCATGGACACAAAGTGCCAAAATAAACATTTTGGCAGCTGCGGAGCTGCCAAAGCTCCCCTGACCCGTTGCAAATCTATTCATTTTCAATACTATTTACAGATGTCAAAAGCATATTTCAATTATTCTAATATATAGGATAATGTTTTTGAGGTCACTGGATTCAACCCTCATGTCAGATTGGACAAATTGACCGTTGGCAGCTGTCAATACACTGTCAACGAAGAATAGAAAAGTAAATATAAAGTTATTTTTCTTTGTAAATTTATTTATTAACTATTTCAATGGTCCAACTAATGTTATTTCGTAATCACAATAAATAAATTATTATCATGGTCCAATAAACGTGCACCTTAAGCCGAAACCGGCATCGCCTTTGTGAGGTAGCCGGTAAAGATGCCGCTGCGTACATTCGTATCTGGTCTAGGTAATC